GGCAATAGGCAAAGTAATCACTAGTCCTAACTTTTTCCAATCTGCTCATTATATTTCTTTCCATAAGTATTTCTTTGGTCTTCCAAATTTTCCGTTGCTTTGTGTTTTTACCGTGTGACGCCATTCTTTCTCTTGTCTTCCAATTGATCCTATGTTAAGTCTATGCAATGTGTTCCGCTATTTCCGATCTGTCGGTACCCATTTTCCTGCAGAGCCCTTAATATTCCTTGATTCGTACTCAAATTATTTCACCTGCATTGACAATATAGTTCTGTTTAGAGAAAACAAGCAGCCCCCCTTTTTTGGTTTAGTGTTTTTTTCTAAATGTTCGCAAATAATGGGTTCTAGCTCTTACTATGTCCGTCACATGGAGGTGAACAGAGATCTTCTTCTCCATTCCGGACATCCATTTATCTTAAATAAGCAAGATAAAGTTAATTTTCTTGGTGATATCATGCTTTGAAGATATGAAGAAAAATTAGGCTTCAATGAAGTCCTTAATGAAATATTGTGGCATGATTCTTTATTTCGAAAAGGAAAGTTGGTTGGAAGGAATTCGTGATGTGGTCTTACTGGAAACCGAAGGAGGAATTTCGCAAAGCAAGACTGTAGAATTGTGAGAAGAATTCCTCGGCTCAACGAGAATTCCTTCTCTGATGATGTCTGTCACAGTACAGACGAAAGCTTAGCCCAATTTCATTGGGGTCGCAGGACGGTGAGCCGAGGACTTTTTCGCACAATTCTACAGTCTTCCTTACACGACAATCCTCCTTCGGTTTCCGATGAGACCACATCACGAATTCCTACAACCAACTTTCCCTTCTAAATGGAGAGTTATTCCACGATATAATGCTTTGTTTAGAATCCATTATCCGTCAAACAGTCTTGGATATTGTTGTTTGACCTTGGTTTAGCAACTTGGTCATATCAGCAGGAAGTCCTAGAGGAACGCACCTTGTCCGGAGTCCATTGTATGCCTGATCATTTCCAGAGTCGAACCATAGACTTGGTGAATTCCCATATGTTTTGCCGTCATCGTAATCGGCATTATCAATTAGACTTGTCCTCCTTAGCATCAAGTCCATCTCTCGACCAACTTTATGCAGAATGATTGCGATATCTCCCCTTCTTCTTCTGCTACATCCATTTCGCTATCGCAAGTTCTACCTTATCTATTTTATCATACTTCACGGGTGTGATTTGTTGTTGAGCTAATTTATTGAAGCCCATTCACACTTCCCGTGTATCCAGAAACAAGTGTCTGTGATATCCTCTGCACCTTTCGAGTTAAGTTCTGGTACAATTGGCCTGGAGCTTTCCTATTCCTTAGTCACTTTTGCGCTAATCCCCAAAATTTTAGTTGTTTGCTTGATTTGATCATACTCACTTCTAAGGGTAATATGGGCACCAACAGCTGCTGATCTTCTTCCTAGTCGCAAAGGTCTATTTTAAATAAGTCCCTCATACGTCTCAAAAAGTCGCCTTCTTCATACTTGTAATATAAAAAGCTTTTCGAGTATGCATGTTTTATGTAACTGTGATGTAGGTCTGCATATCCCAGTTTTTACAGCCATTCTAAGAAGGGGCCTAATTTTTATTCTAGTACATACATAGTTAAAATTCACTTGTGAAGTTCTGGCGCATTTTGAGTTATATTTTAAAAATAGGGCTTCAAAAAAATAGAAAAAATGCAAGCGATAACCTTCACAAGTTATCGCCTAAGTGAGGTGCAGATACTCTTTATCCTCTTTTTCTAACATGAAATGAAATACAGTCGATTTGCAAGTATACTGTACTGTTGTCCTTGTATTTTCCGACAGCAGAAGGTTCTGTGAGGCTTTGTAATTTGTTGGGTCGTTGAAGCTTGTGTCTCCATTATTTGGAGACTGCTATTGCTGAAGGGATTGAAGTATGAGTTTGCTTGCGACAGATCGGCAGTCGTGACCACGAAGAAGGATCCGTTTCTGTAGTGGCTCTGTCTGATTGAAGGATACCTGACAGAGGCCGACAAGACGACTGCCAACCAACTGGTGTTGACGGCGATAAGAGCAACTGGTTCGGAGGTTGCTGGTTTTGGTGCGGGCTGCCGAAGTGGCCGACCTGCTGCTGCCCTCTTTCATGACAGAACGGTTGTTGTTGTTGCTGCCTTTGCTGAAGCCAAACAATCTGCTGCAGATACTGATGCAGGCCATCTCTGAATGTGTATGCATGGCTGGATAGGCTTGATCCGAATTCGTGTCTCGAGTCTCTGGCCTTGGCTTCAAAGGTAGAAATTGGTGGGACCGAAAGACTGGAAGTTTGTTGTGCCTCCGACAATGCAGGCCAGGCCGAATTGGCCGCAAAGCTGGGCTCAATGCCGATTTCATTGGGCGAGGGCACTCGTTGCAGAGGGAACAATGGAAGAGGAAGGGCGGATTCGAGCAGACGAGTCACAAGTCCACCGGCTGGTACCGACGGGTCAAGGCCCTGGGCGAGCAACTGGCAGTACAGCAGACCGGAGACCCCTTGCATGATACCAGCTGCCGTGGATGCGTGGTCTGGGGGCCATGAGGGCTGTGGAAGACAAGAGAACGTAGCCCCGGGCACGGGCATTTGTGGGTCGCGGAGGTCGTCGGTAGCGCTGAGACCATCCTTCGGCGTTGCGACACCTCCACCAGCCACGCCGTTTCGGTGGCCGGCAGTACGGAGGTCCTCATTTTCGGGCTCCAGATGGCCCGGTAACAGTTGGTCCTGGTCCCCAGACCAAAGGAAAGAAGATGTCATCTGATCATTTAATCGTCTGACAGTCGGACTGCCTGAAGTTGCCGTTGTCGAGGTCAGGGTCGTTAGGGTTGTCGCATTCGTCCGACCGGTGGGCAAAGTAGCAGGAAACTGGGACGTCTC